CACAGTAGACCTTCAATACTTCTGGTGAGTGAATGAATATATAAGCATATTTCATACTCTCTAACTTGCCCAACATCCTAAAATAATAAATGAAAAGATACAGTATGAATTACGTGGGTCCAAAGAACAGGAATCAGTTCAACAGAAGAAGAGACAATAGATGTGAACAGGCAGTTTGTGGAAAAAAGGAATACAATGGCCAATACATATATGGAAATATGCTTATTTTTGCTCATAATTAAAGCAATAGAATTTAAGATCAATATCATTTTTAAACACACACACACACACACACACACACACACACACAAAGAACAACATGAACTCTATTAGGGCTATCTAATGATGATCAGGAAAACTGACAAGAACACATTTTGACAATTTTTTATTCTTTATTTCACTAATAAATTCTTTTATTTATTTGTTATTTCTTGTTTGTTTGTTTGGTAAAGACTGTAAAGTTTTTGGGAAAGCTAAGTCATTTATTTCTGCAGAAAAAATGACCCTGTGGTAAAGTCAGAATATTGGAGGAAGACAGAGAACACTACCCCAACTATAGTAGAGATATTTCCTGACACTGCAATTGCTCCTGGCACACATACTTCAGCTGGGCAACCATAGAAGGAAGAAAATTTAAGGTTGGCTCCCAGACAGGCAGCAATAGCAAATAGTGCTGATAGAAATCATCAAAAAGAAGGTGAAGAGCTCCCTCAGGCTGCAGCAGGATGTCAAAAATTGCAATACATATTTATATTTGAACTTAAAAATTCCTAGGCAATTGTAAAAAATAAAGTTGAGTAAAAACAATGTTTTGTGTACACTATCTAATTATCCTTTCTTACAATTCAATGAAGTAAGGATTATTCTTATCTTCATTGAACAAATGAGAAAACTAAAGTTCAGAGTGGTCATGTAGCTACTCAGTGGGGGAGCACTAGGCAGAAATGATGATGTTTCACGCAAGACCCACACTCGCATCTTGTTGGGCTATCCATTCACAGCTAATCAGTATTCACCCAGAGCTTTCACTATGAAACAGTGGGATTGGCAGGGAATTGGGAACTCAAGTGGATAGGTACCGATGCTGGTTTGGGGCCCATGAATGATTACTAGTGGGACAGGCAGGCAGATGTATAAGAAGAATATGAGCCGTTAAAGTCAAGGTGAAGGAAGGGAAAAATGAAAAAGATTAGAACATGTGAGAGATTTAAAATATGAGAAAGAGGAGAAAAGGTAGGAAGCAAAGCAAAAAAAAAACAAAACAAGCCTCTGCAAAGGATAAAGAGTGCGACAACTGTGAGAGAAAAATGAGAAAAATCTTTTATTGAAACCACTAAGAAGGAGGAAGAAGAAGACAAAATGGAGGAGGGTCATGCACAACTGTGATTGAGGAGGGACCCACGGACAGCAACAGAAAATCCTCTCTCACTAGGCAAAGTGAGAGTGTTTAGCCTTGATTGTGATGCTGGGCTGATTACTGTGAGTGATAAAGAACCCTCAGAGGGATCCCCTAAGAATTTTCTTCACTTACCAAAGTCACTTTAAAATTCAAACCAAACCCTAATGGTATAGGCAACACTCAGGGTCAACCTGTGGTGGCTGATGAAAACAGATAAACAAATTAGAGCCAATTCTCCAACCCTGTAGGTCTCCCTGGGAACAAGGGTCCTTAATTTGGGTCCACAGACTCTCACAATATCTATGGAGAGATTTCAGGAGCGCAGGAACTGGAATGGGGTTGGGGAACTTACATCTTTATTTTCACCCAACTTTATCTGAAAGTAACATTCTCTGCTATTGCAAATATAGGTGAGAAATCACAGGAGTGATTTCCATAGCACCTGTACCTTTGTCACCAATAGATACTCACCTAAATTAATGATCAAGCTGTCAATAGTGGAGAGCACGATGTACTGCCCATTTCAACTAAAACGAATTTTAGGCTTACCAAAAATACATTTTGAGCAAAGATAATGATCCATAGGCTTTGAAACTATGCTTCTTCAACTTGAATGTGGAACAAGTCACCCAGGACTCCTATTAAAATGCAAATCGTGATTTAGCATGTCTGGATGGGGCCTGGGACTCTGCATGTCTAACAAGCTTCTAGGTGATTGGGGTACTACACTTGGAGTAACCAGGCTGCAGAGCTATTTAGATGGAAGGCTTTAAGGATAAAGATCCTTTTGGACAGGTATAAAAAATTCTTTGAAGTTGTAGAGTCTATATCACTTGGTGTGCATTTTTATACCTCCCATGATAATATAAACAATTCCTTCAAAAATATTCTCTTGGTGTTTATCAGTTTACAGAATTTAGGCAAATTGTTCTTATAACTGTGTTTTCATATCGATTTATTGATATCTTTAATATTGCATTTATCACAGGTAATATAACTGTTTATAATACATGCTCCCTAAATGTGTAGTGATAATGTCTTCTTCATCTTTATCTTCAGTGTCAATCAGAACGTTTTGAAAATAATAATTTTTTAATGAACATTTAACAGGGAGTTTATCGATGTCATGGTTTCTTTCTAGATCCTTGAACCATGGGTACTGGCATTTGAAATGTACGATCCTTAACCAAAACACATTTGTATTTAATTCCCAAAGCAATTTTTGGAGCTGAAATAATTTCTGTTTAATTTTCCACGTCACCTAAATATTCCTTTTTACCTGGGCCTACTCAATTTTTAATTACATTTCCATTTGTCTAATTTAGCCTAAATTCAGAACCACACCCAAAGATAGAGCTGACACTTCTGCACGCCTTTCAGTCAAAAGAATTTCCGGCAGAACAATTTCTGGTTATTACAAATAGAGTTGATATAAAGTTCCGGTACACAAATTAGTTAAAGGCGTGTAGTATAAATTGTACATGCCCCCAAATAACCATAAAATAAACTTTGTTTGATTCTAAAGACAAGGTGTTTGGGCCTTAGCCTTCTTAAAGAAGGCCCATACATGTGTATTCAAAGGAGCTGAGGCTTTATTGGAAACCCAAATCCAGTTTAAAAACCATTGACCTGTACACTTTAACTGAGTGAATATGTGAAATAAAGCTGTTAATAGAAAAAAAAGAGAAGCACAGTATCCCAGTCATCGTAATGAAGGAGTTGGCTGTGTGCTCTAAGTAGATGTAAGGTCATTATGATAACTTTGGCTTGGAATCTGAATTAGTGGAGGTAGCTGCTTAATGGTAATAAAGTAGGGGTTCTAGAGTCAGAGGACTAAGTTCAAATTCCAACTGCACCGCTTTCTAGTTGTGGAACTTTGGGAAAGTCACTAAATTTCTGGGTAAGATTTTTTAACCTGCCAAATGGGCTGACAATAGTATCAAACTCCAGTGGATATATAAAGAGGGTTAAATTGGACAATTCCTGTAAATGGCTTAGCACAGTGTGTGGCCTAATGGTGATCGTTCAATAGATGATGCCATTTAAATTTTTTATGATGACTATTTTCTGGAGTACTAAGGATGGGGTATTGGAGAATGCCAGATTCTCCAATACCCAAGACCCAGCAGTGGTTGTAGCTGGGTACCAAAGCCATTATATCCCATTAAAATCCCCTTTCATTTTCTTGGGTCTGTCAAGATAATTCCTTCCTTATACCAAACCTGACTGCTCCCTATCTTTCACTGCTTAGATTTTATTTCAGTAGTTCACAAGCCAGGTGGCCCATCAAAATTATGTGGAGTTTGTTAAAGATAAATCCTTGAGTCTCAATTTAGGTATGGGGCAGTGAGTCTTGAAATGTGGTCCTGGGATCAGCATCACCAGCCTTAAAAGAGGCCTGTTGAATTGGAAATTCAGGGTAGGACCCAACAATCTGTTTTAACAAACTCTTTAGGTGATCCTGATGCATACTTAAGTTGACAATATTAATCAAGAGGAATCTGATATTTGATAAGCTCCTGATGTGATTTTGGCCTTCTCATTTGCATATTGTCACCGGGGAACCAGTACTAAAACAAGGCATTATACTGAATTGCCTAATACACACTCATGGCTAACATATCAACCAATTTCCAATGTGCAAGCAAAAACAGCCTCAGAATTCTCTTAGATGGACAGGACTTCAGCAAAAAAATTGGACACATCATACAAACACTTCTCAGAACCCATTTCCTCTGGAGACACTACTTTAATTTCTATTAAGCTTACTTATTTGTTCTGCTTTTGGCACAAGCTGGTTCTCAAGGACATTTATTGATTGTTTCATTTAATTTATCTGTCACCATATATTCATCGCATCTTTCCTAGGTGCCTAGGCATTGACAACAATAGAGAGAATGTTACAATTCATGAGAATACATTTTAGAGCACAAAACTGATCATTAACAGATGATGACATTTCCTTTCATAGGGAGCCTCAGTAATTGGGTAGATAACAGTCCATGTTGGCCATTTAGATACTGACTTTCCTAAATAAAGGAGAGTGGGCTGTGTAAGTTTTTTTAGTTCTTGAAAAGCCCAATGATACAACAACAAAAAAAAGTATTTGCAGCATGTTCTTAATTTTTTTAAAGGTGTTTTCTAATTCCTTGTGAGATTTCAAAGCTCTCAAAAAACTATTATAACTCAAAAATAAGTTAGTGAAAGTAAAAACTATAAAACATAGCCTCATTAAGGAACAGAGAAGAGCGCGGTAAAGATGCTAAAATAGTGAAGCTTATAAAATATTAATGTGACGAACACTATGCAATTTCCAATTTTAAGAAATGATAATTTTGTAGCTTTTTAAAACCCAAATAGTATGTTTTGATTGTATTTGTGCTTGTAAGTTAAGCACATGTTAAAGCACATGTCAGAATATGGATCTAAAAAATGTGTCTTACTTCTCTCCATAAACTAGCATCAAAATAAGATGATTGGGTATGGAAGCAAAAGGAAGGTGCCAGCCAGACCTGTGGCTGTCTTCCTTTAAGTTATCCAAGGGCATTAAATGTTTTCTATAGAAAAGAGGGTTCCAGCCATACAAACCTATATCACATACCAGTTTAATATGTTCTCGCTTCTGGTACTTTTCACTATAATACTGTTCTTGTCGAAGATTCAGCAGCTGTTGCTGTTGCTTGTCCTTTAAGTCTATTAACTTTTGGGTCATTTCAGCATCCAGGGCAGCAAGATCTTGCTCAATCATCGATGAACCATGGTCAGGGCTGCTGGGTTCTGATCTGCAGAAACACAGAGCTTGACTCAAAAAACATGCAGGTCATAGTAAGAGGGAGGGAAGGTGGTTCACCAGAATTCCTCTTAGAGAGACCTCTGTGTTAGAAAATAAATATTTTGCTAAGCCACTTGAAGTACAGGCTGATACCCTGAAGACAATCCTAGCAGTAGAGGGTCCCCAAACACAGAAAATGGGAGAAATCTGTGTTATTCCAGAAGAAGGTAGAGGCAGAAAAGCAAGCCAGGAGGCCTGGGGCTCTGGCGGTGCCGGTGGAGAGACTGATAATCCCCAAGGGGAGAACAGTGCCTATTAAAGATTTTTAAATCTTTTATCTTTTTATGTACTGCAGGTGGCATGTATAATGTAATTCCTAGCTACATTTCTCCTCTGACAGCTTCAGCAGACTCTGCATTGACTGAAATCTGTTGGGGGAGTTGAAGAGGTGCTGTGTTTTGCATTTGGATGATGTGGATTGAAAACAGGATGTGCAGACAACATGTGCTGGCAAACCCTCCCAGCCAACATATTCTATTTAACAGATATTTAGAAGTTTAGGACTAATGTTGAAATAAATCAAAGCAATTCTCACTAACTTCTTATTGTGTTAAAACATATGGTGTGATTCCTTCCAGTTTTGTTAAGAAGACAGTATTGGGAACGGGAAACAAAAGCAGGTCTGCTCTTTTCATTTACATGGAAACCTCTGAAGAAGAAAAAAATAAAACTAAACCACCTAAGATATCCAGCACATCAGATTCTGTTTCTACGTTTTTACCTTGCAGTCAAGTAGAACAGGTAGAAGACGTCTCTTAGAATCAGGTGGCACAAATTCCTGATGTTTTCTATGTGAATTAGGCTAGCATCAGTGGTGCCACATGGAGAGGCAGTTGGTTAAAGCCAGTGTTAGGATCCTACTTTGTCAAATAAGGGATGCAGAATTCCCTCACATGTTTGTATTTGCATTTTTATGTGCAGTGCTGCGAAATGAGAATGAACACTTTACCAGGCACCCAGATCCCGATACACGAGAATCGCATGGCAACCTGGAGGTGGCCCTCCACCTTGGTATGAATACAAGTTTTCTTAATTACCATCAGAATTGAGTGGCATCACTGAGATGACCTCCACCGAGGTGCGAACATGAAATTCATTTATCATCTTTTGTAGCAGGAAGTCAGTATAGCCAGAACAATGAGTCACAACCACTACAGCAGAGACAACTCATTGTTGACCACTCAGCATGGGCTACGCACTCTTTGGCTTTCACAACAACCCAGAGGTGGGTATGACCACCTCTAGTTGACATCTGAAAAAACTGAGTCTCAATGAAACAATGCCTAAGGACACAGTACAGAGGGCAGCAGTGTAGCTCACCAAGGGCAGACATATAAGAAAGGGCAAAGTCTACGCTCTTAAGTGCAACACAGAATCACTGTACGCCAGTCTCTGGACAGAAACTATCCTTAAATGATCTGCTCTTCTTATTGTGTGGAAAGCTCAGTTAAGATGATGGATATTTGAATAAAAAACTCATCTAACGAACATGATGCCCATTTATAACTCTGAGGTATTTTCAGGATTTTAAGGTGATCAAAGGGCATGGGACCTCAGTGGTTTTGCCTCATAAAGAAAAATTTCTTTTGATACTAGATGCTTAGGGATTTTTGTTTGATTTTTGAGGGGCAGTATAAAAAATAACCAAGGGAACAATGTTTCTGTATCTTCTGTATAAACAGAGTTGAAAACATTCCCCGTTGCCTAATGTTGCTGTATAAGAGCCATGAGATGAATTCTTTCATAATTTAATACTGGGAAAATGTTTGTCTCTCTTGGAAAAGCAAGCCAGTTTCCTTTAATCAGATAAGGAGAATTGTCTAACCCACATTTCCTCTTCTCAGAAGCTAAGAGCTAAATTCAGTGTTCAAGGACAGAAATTACATTAAATGTTTGGTGCTGTCCAGTAGAAATATAACATGAGTCCGTGTATTTGATTTTTTTTCTACATATGTGATTAAAAATTTTTAGCAGTTACCTTGAAAATTAAAAAGAAATGAGTGAAATTAATTTAATAATATATTTTATATAACCTAATACACCCCGAATCTCATTCAACATGCAAATAAAATGAAGTCAATGTAAATCCAAATAAAAATATGAGCTATTATTTATTCTTTTCTTTTTTTAGTGAAGTCTTTGAAATCTGGTATGTATTTTATACTTAGAGCACATTTTAATTTCTATGAGCCATTTTCCAAGGGCTCAGTAGTCACATGTGGCTAGTGACTCCCGTATTGGACAGCAGGTCTAAATAGCTGGTAGCCATTTGGTCTGTGTGTATGTATATGTGCGTTGTTTTTCTTTTTCTATTTTCGTAGGATTTTTACACACATCTTCTATGATGTTACTTCAACATTCTGCTGGAAGTTTGCATGATATGACTTCTAAGTAAATAAATATGTGAATACACAAATGACTTCACACATATCACTAAAATACAAATTTAGGAGAAGTGTTAGGCCAAGCTTTACTGGAACTGTGTGTGTACTTGTGGGTAAATGTCAATGCCTTTAACTTTCAGCTTCTTCCCTGAAGAAGTGACAAAATTACACCTAGGCAGCTTCTAAAACTGCTCCAGTTCTGAGAAATGATGATTTAGTTGATTTTTAAAATCCAAGTACTGGCTTTTGATTGCGCTTTTAAGTTAAGCACATGTTAAATCATGTGTCACAATATGGATATAAAAAATACACCTTACCTCTCTCTATAACCTGGCATCGAGACAAGATTATTCAGTTAAAAATTGAAAGGAAGGATATAGTACAACCTGTCTGACTCTTAGTTCACTAACAGGTAGCTTACATGCTCACATAGTTTTCTGCATTACCATATCAGCTACTTGCAGGTGATAATTGTGTGGGTCATGTTAATTGCTATGTCCTCTGGAGCATACAGTAATCACTCAATAAATACTTGTCGAATGAATGGATGGGAGATACTTCTTCCCAGCAAGTCTGGGTACATGGGACTTCGGGGAACCCCTAGGTACAAACACAAGGGTTACCTGTAGAGGGCTTTGTAGGTTTTAGATGGGGCAGCAAAAGATATTTGAGACTTCTCTTTTCTGTAAGACGAGTTGCCTCTTCAACTAGGTTCTAGGTACATGGAAAAATTTCATGCCCACTAATTTGGCAGCCGTAATATGGGAAGTCAGAGAATTGGTATTGGGCTCTTAGGCTAGAACTCCAGGGTAGGACTTCCTGAAAATCTATTCTGAGAATTTGGTCAAATAAAGAAATTTAGTCCACAGGCAAAACTGAGCTGAGATAACACAAGAGCTACAGAAAATGGAGGGAGTTGGGTGACTTTCCTTCTTGCAGTGGTATAGATCCAAACTATGGTACAAAACATCAAAAATCCATGTAAATGACTCTCTTCCTTCATGTCATAAAACCAACATTACTCATTCAACTTACTTTTTCTTACTATCCTTTCTGGCTGTCTTTTCTAAAGCTGCTCTCCTTCTCAAGTAGTCATTCTGAATTTCATTATATTTTGTAGTGTGTTCTTTGATAAGGTCAGTGGTTTTCTTGTGGTGTCTCTTAACCAGATCTTTCATTTCTTTGTAGTGCTTCTTTTGAAGTTTCACAAACGATTTCTGTTGCTTTAGCTCTTCAATAGTCTGTGCTTCCACTTCTGCAACAAAAGAGTGTAAGAGCTGACAGACATGGCGGAACCGAAAGTACAGATGCACGGAGGAGCAGCAACCTGCTTGTAGAGCAATATTTGTCTGATCCTAGTCAGCTGGAGCTTAAGAACAGAGCTTTGATGTCAAACATATCTGGATTCCAGTGTGGCTCCATCACTTGCTAACTTTGTGACTATGTTACCAAATTTCTCAAAGACTCAATTTTTTCACTCAGAACTTTTTAAGAAAGTTTGGGTTCCCTACAGAGCCCAAGAGAGGGATTCAGGTGCATGTGATTTACTAGGAAGGGGCTTAAGAGGAGGGGAGTGAGGGCAGCAAAAGGGAAAGGAAAGTATCCAAACAAGGATGTGGTCTTGAATGGAGTTTGGCTTCTGCCTGATTCCACAGGGAGCTCTGGAGTGTGAACTGTACCACAGAGTTGGTCTCACCCTGAGTCAAGATGGTCAGCACTTGCGTATTTGGCGGAGTCGGGGGGCGGGGGGAGGCACGGTGTACTGGGAGGGGCTTCTTTTTGGCTGAGGGCAATTTTCAGGAGCCGGGGAAGCTATGAGCTGTTAGCAGCCAACATTCACCACAGAGATGGGTGTACAAGACAATAAAGAGGATCTGAGTGGGGCACTAACAGCATCCACCTTAAGGATCGCAATA